GTAAAAAGTTACTAAGCTGAGAAATAAGGCATAAAAGAAAAAAAAATTAATTTCTTAAATGTATCTATATCTTTAAGCATATCAAATATCAAAATGAGATTATTGGGAAAACACATAGTAATGGAGAATTATTAGATTTATTTAAAAAATTCTTATTTGAATTTTGTATGGGCTCTCAAAACTTGATGTAGCAATCTATTTTTTCTGGGACAATATTTGTTCCTTTGTCCACTCCTGTTAGCATTATTTGGCAAAAGCTGAACGTTGAGGTACACCTGAGAATTATTACTCAATTATCCTGGCCAGTTTTACGTAGGAAATCAGGAAACCACCACCACCACCACAACAAACACCACGTTCTCAAGAGCATTTGCAAATCAGTCTGCAGACTTCAAATGTTTTCCGATTTAGAGTGTTCAGACTACTGCTCTCAATGTTGAATTCTCAGTAGCTTTGTTTTTATTTCTGAATTGCTTTTTACAAAAAGGATGCAACGGGGGCTAGCGCCATGGTTCACTTGGTTAATCCTCCGCCTGCGGCACTGGCATCCCATATGGGTACCGGGTTCTAGTCCCGGTTACTCCTCTTCCAGTCCAGCTCTCTGCTATGGCCCAGGAGGGCAGTGGAGGATGGCCCAAGTGCTTGGACCCCTGCACCCACGTGGGAGACCAGGAGGAGGAACCTGGCTCCTGGCTTTGGATTGGCTCAGGGCTGGCCATGGTGGCCATTTGGGGAGTGAACCAATGGAAGGAAGACCTTTCTCTCTGTCTCTCCCTCTCACTGTCTATAACTCTACCTGTCAAATAAAACAAAAACACAACAAAACAAAACAAAAGAATGCAGCATAAGGAACTTTTTTTTTTTGACAGCCAGAGTTAGTGAGAGAGACAGACAGAGAGAAAGGTCTTCCATCCACTGCTTCACCGCCCAGATGGCTGCTACAGCTGGCACACTGCACTGATCTGAATCCAGGAGCCAGGTGCTTCCTCCTGGTCTCCCATGTGGGAGCAGGGCCCAAGCACTTGGGCCATCCTCCACTGCACTGCCAGGCCACAGCAGAGAGCTGGACTGGAAGAAGAGCAACTGGGACAGAATCCGGCGCCCCGACCAGGACTAGAACCTAAGGTGCCAGCGCCACAGGTGGAGGATTAGCCTAGTGAGCCACGGCACCGGCCATAGTATAAGGAACTGACAACAAAATGCAATTGTTCCTCAAATAGTTCAAAGAATAACTATGCCAATTAAGTGTTTGTATTTATATTCCAAACATTATATTTTCACCTAAGTATCACTTACCTCAAATATTAACTGAATAGTTTTATAGAATTGTTTTTTTAAGATGTATTTTCTTTTCTTTGAAAGGCAGAGTTACAAGAGGAGAGAGACAGAGACAGAGATACAAGAGAGACAGAGGGGCTGGCCCCCCGGCTCAATAGGCTAATCCTCCGCCTTGTGGCACCAGCACACCAGGTTCTAGTCCCGGTCAGGGCGCCAGATTTTGTCCCGGTTGCCCCTCTTCCAGTCCAGCTCTCTGCTGTGGCCCAGGAGTGCAGAGGAGGATGGCCCGAGTCCTTGGGCCCTGCACCCACATGTGAGACCAGGAGGAGGCACCTAGCTCCTGGCTTCGGATTAGCGTGATGTTCTGGCCACAGCAGCCATTGGAGGGTGAACCAACGGTAAAGGAAGACCTTTCTCTCTGTCTTTCTCTCTCACTGTCCACTCAAAAAAGAAAAAAAAAAAGAGAGAGACAGAGAGACAGAGACAGAGAGAAGTTGAGAAACAGATCTTCCATCTGCTGGTAGGATCACTCCCCAAATGGCCCCAACTGGGCCAGCCCTAAGCCAGGAGCCAGGAGTTACTTCCTGGCCTCCCACATTGATGCAGGGACCCAAGCACTTGGACCATCCTCCACTGCCTTCCCTAGCACATTAGCAGAGAGCTGGATGGAAAGTGGAGCAGCTGGGACTCAAACTGGTGCCCATATGGGATGCCAATGCTGCAGGCAGCAGCTTAATCTGCTAGGCCAAAGTGCTGGACCCAAGAACTTTTTTTATTTTTAAGTAAGTGGCTTGTTCTTAACCATTACCAGCTTAAGCTTATTTAGAAGTGGCAAAATGAAATTTTTATAAATGTGTCTATTCAGTAACAGGATACTTTTTGACTGTCTTGTTACTGTTAAGGTCTAACCATCCGCTGGTTTACTCCCTAAAGGCTGTAATGGCCAGAGCTGGGGCCTATCTGAAGCCAGGAGCCAAGAGCTTCTGGGTTTCCCACATGAGTGCAGGAGCCCAAGGATTTGGGTCATCTTCCACTGCTTTCCCAGGCCATAGCAGAGAGCTAGATCAGAGTAGAGCAGCCAGAACTCAAACCGGTGCCCATATGGGATGCTGGCACTGCAGACCAGGGCTTTCATCTGCTGTACCACAGCACCAGCTCCCTCATAGAATTTTAAGTCCAGACAGCCAGTGAGGCATTTTCCAGCTAACTTACTCATTGCGTTGAGTTGGAGAATATTAAAATGCTGCCAAAAGATAGCAGCTTCTGATTAAAACTGTTGAAGCGGCTGGTGCTGTGGCTTAGTGGGTAAAGCGGCCACCTGCAGTGCTGGCATCCCATATGGGCGTCAGTTTCATCCTGGCTGCTCCACTTCCAATCCAGCTCTCTGCTATGGCCTGGGAAAGCAGTGGAAAATGGCCCAAGTACTTGGGCCCCTGTACCCATTTAGGAGCCCCAGAAGAAGATTCTGGCTCCTGGCTTCGGATTGGCATAGCTCTGGCAGTTGCAGCCAATTTGGGAGTGAACAAGCAGATAGAAGACCTTTCTCTTTCTCTGCCTCTCCTCTCTCTGTGTAACTCTGACTTTCAAATAAATAAGCAACTCTTAAAAAAAAAACCCTCTGTTGGAGGCAGGTACTTAAGATGCCACTTGAGACCCCTGTATTTTTGGTTTACATTCCAGGTTTGTGTCCTGTCTGCTCTGGGTACCAACTTCCTTCTAATGTACACTTGGGAGTCAGCAAGGGTAGCTCAAGTAATTGAGTCCCTACTGCTTACATGGGAGGCCTGGATTGAGTTACCAGCTCCCAGCTCGGTCCCCCAGCCATTGCAGACACTTGGGGAGTAAATCAGCAAATAGAAGATTTCTTTTTTCTTGTTGTTTAGAGTTTTTTTTTTATTTAAAGATCCATTTATTTATTTATTTGAAAGACAGAGTTACACAGAGAGAGGAGAGGCAGAGAGAGAGGTCCTTCATCCGATGGTTCACTCCCTAGTTGGCCACATCGGCTGGAGCTGCGCAGATCCGAAGCCAGGAGCCAGGAGCTTCTTCCGGGTCTCCCACGTGGGAGCAGGGGCCCAAGGACTTGGGCCATCTCCCACTGCTTTCCCAGGCCATAGCAGAGAGCTGGATCAGAAGTAGAGCAGCCGGGACTCGAACTGGTGCCCATATAGGATGCCGGTGTTTCAGGCCAGGGCATCAACCCACTGCACCACAGCGTCGGCCCCTGTTTAGAGTTTTATTACGGGAGATTTCTCCTACTCCCTCTCTTTCTAACACCTTTACTTACTTCTCAATATGTTGAAAATGTGCAAATGTGTCCAACTTCTGACACAGTGGATCATATTAATGCATCAGTTATAAAATGATAACCCTTTTTGGTTAGCCATAAAGTATTCTGAGCTCTCTGGAACCAAATTTCATTTGAAGATAGATCATTATTCTCTCACATTTCCTAAATGCCATAGCTATTCATAGGCACTTTTCCTGTTTTCTTTGTATAAAATCTAATTTCTGTTTCAAACTAATAGATGACAGACTGACAGCTCCCATTGATGGGGCTCACACCCCAAATGCTCACAACAGCTGAGGACCTGCAGCCCGAAGCTGGGAACTCAACCCAAGTCTCTTCTGTGGGCTGCAAGAATCCAGCTACTTCATCCATCACTGCTGCCTCCCAGGGTCTGCGGTATCTCGAAGCTGGAGTCAGGAACCAAAGCAGGATTCGAACCCGGTACTCCAACGTGGGATGCAGGCCTCTGGTTAGCTCAAATGCCCACTTTGCTGAATGTTAACCTAAGTAGATATCATCAGTACAAACATAATTTTTATTCCTTCAAGTAATTGATAGAAAAGTGTGTTTTGTACCTTTAATTTGAATAGGATCCCCCAAAATAAAACTAGATATACTGTTTACCAGTGTGAGAAAATGTATTTCACAAAGAGAAAATGTGAATTTATTTTATTTCTTGAATACTCATGTGTGTCTTGCTAGACTAAGTCAGAATAGAATCAATATATTTTGTCAATCTAATCATTCTAAAAAATCAAATAATGAGTAATATGGAAATGTTTATGAATTATTTTTCTCTGTTTATTTCTATGGAGAAAGATGGGATTATGGTAATGTTTCCAAATGCTTCTGGTTAAATGTGGAACAGTTAAAAAATAACCTGATATAGTTGTAAGTAGGTCTTAGGCATCCAATGCATGTGCAACCATGCATGACACAAAATGTTTTAAGTTAATATAATAATTGACTTCTGATACCTGTGGTGTCCATTCCAATGAAGATTCTGATTTGCTATTTAGCTCATAGTAACATCAAGGACTCTGGATAGTGTGACTTTAGAGCAACTACTGCATCGATTCACATATGTTAAACATACATTTTAAAATATATGACTACTTTACTTATTCATTGTGGTGAATAATGTTACCTTTTCCCTTACTTTTATCTTTGATTTGTAAAGCATGCAAAGACATTCATTTGCCATATTCTTCAAATTAAGAAAATGGTTTACAGTATGATGATGTTTAGATTCTCTTTGATCACCCAAGGATTGATTTTTTTTTTCTTGCCATAATAAATCTACAAATGAAAACCTGTGATTCATTAATGATCTGGATGTGAATTAGCACAAGAGCAGATGAGTCTGGGGCTCTCTTAGATATGAATATTAAAATCTGTAGAAATTAAGGAAATCACAATGGGTAGACCAAAATTATTTACAAAGGATCATTTATTAAACATTTTTTACAAAATACAAAGATGGTTGTTCTGCAAGAATACATCACATATTAAAAATAACGTGTTTTTACTGAATTTAATTTGAAGATATTCAGAATTGTTTTGTCTATCTCCTTGGGGAGCCCATTTGGCTTTGCTCCTTTTCTGACACCATTGCTAAGAAGGAAGAAACATTTTCTTGTTAATTAAGTCATATTCATAACAGCTAAAATTTTACAGAAATAAAATCAGACAGTGTCTGCCTCAAAAAAGCTCTTTCCACAAAGTAACTGATTTGCCTATGGTCCTATTTTTTTTTTCAAGCTACAAGATAGGAAAAATCGAGGAGGAGCTAGGTAAGTTGTATAATAATGTATTAGCAGCAGTTGATAGTAAATGCAACATAAGATTTGTTTTGTCTGTGGTACAAGAATATGTCGTATCAGACTCTACTGTATTTTTCTCTACTTGTACACAAGTAAGCACATACGGACTGTCTCGGAATGACAAATGCATAAAAAGGCAGGAAGCTGGCCTGGTTGGCATTATCAGTGCCTATTTTCATCAGCTAATATGAATGTATTGCTAAAATTAGTGAAGACAGGAAAATGACTTAAGGATAATATATACAGAGTTAAAATACATCCTTTTTAAAAATCCACTTGAGTGATCTCAGGCACTTTGGCTGTTCAGGATAAAAGGTTTTATGTTTTATTCTTGATAGCAATTTCTCAGTGCAAGCAAAAGCAAATACCTGCCCACAGTCATAAACATGAACTCGTACATCTGGAATGTTTAAAGCAAGTTCATCTTCAATGTCTTCACTCTGGAGGCATCTTGTGTAGAAATGTGTCATAATTTGCTCTTGGTAGCCATTTAATTTTTCAGTGCAAGCAAAAGCAAACATACCTGCTCACTGTCATACACACAACCAAATATCTCTGGAATATTCGAAGCAAATTCACCTTCTGATCTTCATCATGGAAGCATCTTGGATAATTGGCACTTAGTGTAAACCCTCTATAAATCATGCAAAACAGAAACACGATGCCTGAATTTAATAATATTAAAAATCACGGCCATGGCCATCTCTCTGTGTAAACGCTGTTGGGTAAGGCTTGCCATCACGACGCTTCTTTCCTGAGAATGGAGCTGGTCCTGTCTGTGTGGATCATAAGTGTGCATGCTCTGAGCTGTGGTCGCTGTCGTGGCTGTCTTCGTTGGCCAGAGAGTCCCCTGTTTGCTGGAGTGTGGCCGCACCGATCCCCGACAGCTCTGAAGGGAGCAGGGTTCCTTTCTTCACGTTCACCAGTTCCTTTTCTCGGGCGGCAGCGCCCTGCTGGCCCCCTTTTACCCTCTTCCACTTCATCCGCCTGTTCTGGAACCACACTTTGACCTTGGACAAAGAAAGAGAACACACAAAGCAAAACAGAACATTAAATTCGAGTGCTTTCTCCTTTTGGCCTACCTAGGAGGAACAGATTCTCAAAGGCTTACACGAAGACACCATGTAGGAGGCGTAAATACAAAAATAAATCCATCCTGAGTTAAATCAGGTTGGTATTCATGATGATAATTTATAAACATTCAGAAGATGCATGCAGATGGTTACCCTTCATATTTTACAACAAAGGGAATTCATTGTAGTATTACCTCCCAGTTTTTTTTTTCCTTGGGGATTTAAAATTAAAAATCACAACAATAAAAAGTAGACAAGAAAGGACTTATCATTCAAGATGTCTCCAAGGTATTTGGCTCTGCTCTTGTACTGGTGCCCTGATAAGCATGGGAAGGGACATACCTGGTTATGTAGCCAGGAGCTTCATCAATGGGTTGAATGTTATGTGCACATTCATCTTAACACACTAATGTGAAAAACTGTTTTCCAAGGTTTTATCAGCTTAGTTTCCCTATTCATTCCAGGGCATAAAAGTTCAAGGTAACCCACATCTATGCCAGCATTTGGATTTACCAGGTTCGACTTTTTTTTCCAACACGATGACAATAAATGTTATCTCTATGTGCTTTTATTTTGTCTTTCCTGTTTTCTAATGAAGTGAAGCAACTTTTAAGAGTTTAGGATCCAGAGCTGGTGTTGTGGCTCAGTGGGTTAGACTGCTGCCTGCGACACCACCGTGTCCCATGTTGGAACACTAGGAGTCCTGGCTGCTCTGTGTCCAATTCACTCCCTGCTTCTGCACCTGGAAAGTGCTGGCATTTGAGGAGTGAACCAGTGTATGGAAGGCCTCTCTCTCTCTCTTTCTCATAGAAAAATGAATTTTGTTTTTAAAAAAGCTAATAGCCCATTATTCTATTCTATGAAATACCTCCATGTCTCTGGTCTGAATTCTTTTTAAAATTAATCTTACTCTTTATGGACTTTTAAAATATGTCTGAGTTCTAATTTAATACATTCAGTTGTATGGAAGCTACTATCTTCTCTCAGTTTCTACCCCCCTTTTCTTAGAATATTTGTTAATGATCAGAAGCTCTTAATACATTTACATTTACACACTGTTTCTTTCATGGTTAGAACTATTGAAGTATACTCTCTGCTGAGGCCACAAATGTATTCTACGTCTTCCAAGAGTTTAAGGTTTGCATTTCAAATTGAACCTGTCAAACCAGGAAGTATTGAGTTTAGTATACAGAGGAAATAAAATGCTTCCATTTATTCTGTATGGATAACAAGTTGTTCTAGGCAGCTTCATTACATAGGCCACTGTTTCTCAGTGATCACTGTTTCAATTCCGTCATAAATCAAGTTTCCCTATAGAAAGTGGCTTCAAAAAGCTCATGGAAAATGGAATTAAATGATAAGTTGTGCATTCCAAGAGGTTTCTTTTTTCCTTAAGATTGATTGTATTTACTTGAAAGATAGAGAGACATAGAGAGAAGCAGAGAAAGAGGGACATCCTCCATCTGTTGGTTCACTCCCCCAAATGGCTACAACAGTCAGGGGCTGAGCTAGCCCAAAGCCATGAGCCCAACAACCACGTCTGGGTCTCCCATGTGGGTGGCAGGGAGTAAGTACTCAAGGCATTGTCTGCTGCTCTCCCAGGTGCATTAGAAGGGAGTTGAATCTGAAGCAGAGCTGCCAGGACTCAGACTGGTGCTCCACATGGGATGCTGGTGTTACAAACAGCAGCTCAGTGCCCTGCACAGCAGCACTGGCCCCATCCATGATCTTTTGAAGGCCCCTCACACGCACAGCTTTCTGCTCTACTCTGTTCTGTCCTTGTGCCAGTCTTTACCTGTGAGAACATCGTATTTTCATTCTTGTTGTAATTTTATACCAGATCTTTGTATCTGATAGGGATAAGTCTGCTTCACCACCAAATATATTTCTTCGTTCTTCTACACCAAATATATTTTGAATGTTCTGCATTTTCATATTGGAAACAATATCAATTTCTGTGAATACACAGCACCAACTGGAATGTGATGAGAACTATCTCAAATTTCAAAAGACATATTTGTATCTGTAACCTTCAAATCATATGATTCATAAAAGTCCATATAAATTCCTCAGACATTTACACAATATTAAAATTGAGACATTTCTCAACTCTGGATTGTCACTGCTTTCACTGCTGTGCTTAACTGTCATCATGTCTCACTTATTACCTATCCATATACTAACCCATTTGACAATTAAAAATAATACAATATAGTAAAAAACTGATTTAAAAATCAATGGTGAGGGGCTGGTGCTGTGGCAAACCAGGTAAAGCTGCTGCCTGCAGTGCCAACATCTCACATGGGTGCCAGTTCAAGTCCTGGTCACTCCGGTTATGATCCAGCTCTCTGCTATGGCCCAAGAAAGCAGTGGAAGATGGCCCAAATCGTTGGGCCTCTGCACCTGTGTGGAAAATCCAGAAGAAGCTCTAGGCTCCTGGCTTCGGATCAGCTCAGCTCCGGCCATTGCTGCCATTTGGGGAGTGAAATGGTGGATGGAGGATCTCTCTCTTCTCTGCCTCTGCCTCTCTGTAATTCTCTCCTATGTTATAAATAAGGCACTTGAGGCAAAGTTTACATGAACATGACACAGATGGAAACTCTAACACCAGGATTTAAGTGTTAATTCTGGCTCCAGAATTAGGGTTTGGGATTTTTTTATTCTAATTCTATCTCAAGCTCCTGTTTGTAGACCATTCAGGATAAGAAGGTAAAGTACAGGAGCGTGAACCATCCATGACGACTCTCGTTCAGGTAATTCCTCCACTTGCTGTGATTGGGTTGGTAAATGGGGCGCTATTTTCCTGTCCTGTACTTTAGGTAATTACACTACTCAGCCTAATCACCGTGCGAGCTTGACAGTGCAGGTTGCATTAGATCTGTTCCACATGAGCCGGGTCCTACTCTTGGCTTCACTTCTGAGTTTCTGTGTGAATTTGGGAAAATTACACTTTTCTCTGCCTCAATTTTCATATTTGCAATATTGGAATAATGAGGCTTTCAAGAATCTCCATAGGGATATTTGCTCCATTGACCATTCCAGATGGGAAAAAAAAAAACAAAACATGTAAGTCATCATCATAATCACTGTCACCAAGACTGAAATGTTCAGGCAAAATAATCTTGACAGGGAAAAAAAATGGGAGGAATAGCGTTCTCGAAATCCATGCTTATGTTCTTCACTAGGAGAGGAGGTACAGTAATACTGTAATACCAGCATCCATCTGTCATGTGCAATTCCATATGAGAAAAATCTAAGAAGGTACAGATTTTAGGAATACCACTTTGTATTTAAAAGACAATACATCCATTTGTTTTCTTTCTCACCATGTGACAATTTACTGTTTAATTTTTAAAAATTGTTTTTATTCATTTGAAAGGCAGAATATGAAGAGAAAGAGAGAGAGAGAGAGAGAGAGAGAGAGAGAGAGAGAGATTATCTTCCATCTGTTGGTTCAGTCTCCATGACCACAGGAGCCAGAAGTGGGCCATACCATATTCAGGAGCCAAGAACTTGAAATGGATCTCCCCCTTGGGTTGTAGGGATCCAAGTAATTCAGCTGTCATCCCCTCCCTCCCAGAGTGAGAATTAGCAGGAAGTTGGATAGGAAGTGGAGGTGGGACTGGAATACAGGCACTTTTCATTATGTGGGCATCCCAAATAATGGCTTAGCAGGTGCACCACAACAAATGACCTCCATTTCAATTTTTTAAAACAGACATCATAGTGGAAAATAAGAACTATGTACCTACAAATATTTTTTTTTGACAGGCAGAGTGGACAGTGAGAGAGAGAGAGACAGAGAGAAAGGTCTTCCTTTTGCCGTTGGTTCACCCTCCAATGGCCGCCACGGCCAGCATGCTGTGGCTGGCGCACGGCGCTGATCTGAAGCCTGGAGCCAGGTGCTTATCCTGGTCTCCCATGGGGTGCAGGGCCCAAGCACTTGGGCCATCCTCCACTGCACTCCCGGGCCATAGCAGAGAGCTGGCCTGGAAGAGGGGCAACCAGGACAGAATCTGGTGCCCCAACCGGGACTAGAACCTGGTGTGCTGGCGCCACAAGGTGGAGGATTAGCCTATTGAGCCACGGCGCCGGCTACCTACAAATATTAATATACATTTATACAACATATTTATGTGGAGAAAACATTTGATGATTTTATAATCATTGTAATACCTCATAAACTATTTTCTTTAAGAGTTGCATTTCATATTTGATATCAAAACTCCACAAAGTTAGTAATGGAACAAAAAAGCAGATTCATAATGGACACATCTTACAGAAGGAAGGACAAATACAGAACTCCAAAAGTTAACATGTTCACATTTCCTTTCAAATATGCTAGGAAGATTGGGGTGAGTTGAAATCAGAGGAAGATTTGGGGGAGACGTGTTTATCATCATCTCAAGATGAGCAAACGCAATCTGAAAAAATAATTCCAGATTATAAATATTTCTATTAAAATAATGACAGCATGGCAGACTTATACATAACGGAATTTTATAGTTCAAGTTAATATCACTTTATTAACCCAGCTTCATTGACTGGAATGAAAAATTTATTTTTCTATTTTTGTTTTGAAGGCAGTTGAAGTATGATGTATCTTCAAAATGTTTAGGGAAAGTGTGTGTTCTGAAAAAAATTATTCACTATGTTCAAAACTTTTTGCACTAAGATAAACTTTTAATTCTGTTTTCCACAATCTTTTTGAAATGCCTTTGTATATTCATCAAAATGCCTAAGATTTCAGCTTTTCAAAACAAGTATTCTAATGCTTTTAATGAAAATGTACAAGCATGGTTCATATAGTATGCTGAATTTATGAACCATATAAGCTTTATAGAATGAAAAGAATCCTTTTTTCCTGATGACTTCTGATCTCTAGTTATTCATCCATTCACATATTTTTAAGATGTTACTGAATGTCCAGGTACCAG